TGCGTGTGTGTATGTGAGAGAGAGAAGCGAACACGCAGTGGCGCGTAAAATCAGCGTTTTCATGTTAAAAAAGAAGTGGGTATATCATAGTCTCTAATCGAAATTTTGAAACGTTCAACCAGCGTGAGCTATGCTTAGTAGCATCCAAAGCACAATGTGCCCGGTATGGGTTTGTGATGTAAGCTAAAGCTTCTGCTTGCTTTCTGGTCACAATATCATCAATGTGTATTTGCAGTTCTATCTGGACGTATGTACAGTTAAAACAAACTGTCATTACATGTCACAGAACGATGAAATATAAATATGAGGATGCCTAGCAGTAAATACACATTCGTGGAATGGTGAAATGGTAAGCTCATATGTATTCATACGCTATAATCGATGTGGCGATGATCCGATGGTTGCATATATATTATATATAAAAATGTAAAAAAACACACACGGTGCGCGATTCGAACGCACGCGCCCAGAGGGCATTAGATTAGCAATCTAACGGAGTAACCACTTTCCTAACCGTGTTGAGATGAAGATATTTTATAAACAAGCTATTTATAACAACAATATATTTTATCCGACTACAGCTTGTCCACAAATATTAAATAGAAATATAGTCCACACCTACGCTACAGTGCATGCGACGTCGCCGATGCACAATGCCAGTACACAATTATACCAAAATATTAAACCAAGTACAATGCGGGGATACAAGTACGTTTTTTCGATCACATCTATGTTCTGAGCAACAATTCGTGTCGAGTCGCGATTTCAAATACGATGTGCATACAACGGTGGAGTGATTTTGAACTTCGGAAGCTAAAATATGTTCAATGCAAGTACACGGAGAAACCATATTCTTCTGTATTACTGTGGCGTATGCATTAACATGGGCTTGCGCCCTAAGCTCAGTATTGCCATGGGTGCAACAAGGTTGTGAAACTAGCACTTCAGTTGGCAAACAAAGCACCTCAATATTTCTCATAAGTCCCAGCACTACAGTGCCACTTAAGAAATAGTGTGGCGTGTATGTATAGAATTATAATATGCGCATTGTACTCACATGTCACATGTCGCACGCTGCAGTAGGTTCGATTGAGTTTTGATAAATTGCGCGCAATAACTTGGAATACTCAAGCTAGTGACATTCGATGGGAATTATATGGTCCGGTAACACATTGTGAAGGCTTGATTCCGTGCGGCCCCTCGTAGGTGAGTGACGAATTTCAGACTTCGTTACTTTTACAGTAAACCCATACGGAGTGGCCATCAACACTCAGGGGGCAAATGCGTCAAATAAAAGTATCAATTAGTCGAACAGTCTTAACCTCTTAAAGACGGCAGATTTAATCGTATCGTGGAGGTTGTGGCTATTAAAATTCTAATAGATATAAATAGAATTGGATCATTAAAAAAAATGAGTTGGAACGTCTGGCATAATACATCACTGTGGATATATCAGATATTGTTAAGGTGTGCGGTCATATCACGACTGAAAATATCCGATACGTAAATTTCTACACGTTGTATGAAAATATGTATGCAGATTCTATCAGAAGAAGGTTCCTTCACAATAATCGCACAACAAACAGTTAGTAGTTTGTTTGTGAGAATACTATGCGTCGAAGTATGATTTTGACTTCGTATCTCTATCTCGCCATTTCTATAGCATTAGATGCGACCGTGACAGATGTTGATGGTAAAATCGCAGGTGGAGATATTTACTTTATCGACAAAAGAACTTCTTGAAGCCGCAATAGTTCTCCTACATATTGTTCTCGGCTTGAATCGAGAAACAATAACGACAGAATGGTGCATGAGCTCTCAAGCCTTGTGTATGACAAAACTGGTGCGATATTTTCGCCCGACGGACTTAATCTGAATGCTTCTGAAACAGAAATGGAAGATGGCTTCTCTTAATTGGATGTAGTAGTAGAGCCTTATGTACGTCACGGAAGTATACATCAGTTATGAGTCTAACGGCAGAATGTCCTATAAAAAAAGGTCAGTAGGTTTAAAATCGCGTATATAGTTTATGTGCCGATGTCAAACATTTGCACTGGAATACTTAGTATACCACTATTCTTGACATACACTCTACATAGGTAATAAAATTGCCCATACACTGTACACATCGAATAAAACTTAACATTCGGAGCGCGATCAAGTTCGCTTTTAAAATACAACTTGGATCGATGCGCGTTGAGAAAAAATCGAGATGCATCAGTTTCGACTCTGTAAATTTTTTTACCGTTGCTTATCCGTAGATGCCAACTTACTTAGAGCCATAAATCTGCTGAGGAAACCCCAATGTGAACACCGGTACCAGAATTTAACTTTTAGACTTTATACAAGGTAAAAGTGCAGCCACACAAAGTGTAAAATCTAGCTTTTGAAGATTAAAAAGTATATTCCCACTTTCCCCCATAAAAAAATTGAAAATTTAGGCGTATAAAAAAGGAAATCATATTTTACATATGGCATAGCACAGCACATAAATTTTAGGTTGGTATTAGAGAACATACGACGTACACCCATGGTTAAATATCGCGGCGATATGTACGGCATTTAGTTCTATTTGATGTACACCGATGAAGCCTCCAGTGGACCCGACGACGCCACATCGGGACCGATATGTTCTGCAAAATGTTGTCACAACATGCATGACGTGTCCTTTGCCCAAATGTCGGCGTCGTTCACTGACCCGGCATAAATAATTAGAACTATGTGGATATATAGCCTACAATATAAACTTTACAAACTTTACAATACACTTTTTAAACCACCAGTTTTACTCTCTCTAGTAGAGAAAATAGAGATTTCTGTCACCAGGATTCATTTCACTGCTCGAAGAGTCGAAGTCGAGGAGTAATGTGTTATATATCGAATGTAAAATATAATACGTGAATTTAGCTGAAATATCAGTACGACTGCCGAGTGTCGACTGTACTCTACATTCACTGTACTGTGACTCAGAGAGTGCGCACACAGCACACTGTGCACAGTGAGCAGTGAGCACACATTGCGCGGTGCACCTGATGGCTGATACTGCGATGAATTTAAAAATAGTATTTACCGACTGCAGTGGCGGTATGTAAACATTTACTCTGCAGTCTGCACTCAGCAGTCTGTTTACAATTCTACACGGTGATCTCCCCTGCAGCAGTCCTCAAGGATGACAGGCTGACACTATACTTTCTATTATTTATTACTATTTTATTTACAGTGTCTAAAATAAAAAATGTGATCTCCCCTGCTCTGAGAATCCCCTGCTGCAGGTCTCAAGTGCCAAGGCGCAAGGCGCCAAGGCCTCAAGTCCTAATGACAGGCTACATAATATTTTTTTAAACTATATTTTTTTTATTTGCTAAAATAAAATAAAAACAATCTATGGGCAAACCAATCATGATACATCTCGTCATCTATTTGAAAAACAACCCAGATGATTATTGATTAATAGAATTTAGATCTGAAATATACTGATTGAAATAAATATTTCTATTTCTTCTTGTTGTTTGTTATTTTTTTATAATTTTTTTTTTTTCATTTTGTTTGTTTTTATTTTATTTTACACATCATAGCCTTCTAAATTGTCCTGTATTTTTACTATTTTATGAAAACAAAAAACCCCCCCCGGAATGAGATAAAAATCTAAATAAAATGAAATATTTCATACAGTCAAGCCTCTTTTTTTGTCCTAGGTCCGTTTCAGGCCAAGCTTTGGACACAAAAAGAGGAAGACACATATCAGGCAAGTAGAGTTTGGGACTTGAGTCAGTCCATATAGCTAGGTACATTCACAGGTACATTTTTCGTACATACGCGCATATCAAATGCTTCTTTTATTGAAACGTTCAAGCATCGGCTTTGATCTAATTCTTGGTACAATTGATGGCGTGTTGTTTGGCTCACTTGTTGGCGGTAAGTATTTATAACTTAGTAGGCAATATCCCTGACTACTATATCCCGCACCCGGAACAACACCACAGAATATGGAACGCTCGAACCCAACAAGCGAGGATTACTGCTATTCTTATGTATATTAAATCTCATTTATACGTTATTATGAAAACACATGCTAATCCACTTCTCTCTTGAGAGTATAACAGGCCACGAGTGAATTCACACAGTAGTATTCTTCTACAAAAGAACTGCAAATGTTTCGAGTCCCAGAGTATAAAAAATGGACATAAAAAGAGATAAATAATAAAAGACTAAAAAGGAGGTTTCCGTAATAGTGAGAGACTGAGAGAGTATTTAGGCTGTAAATAAATAAATAGAGCCAAAGAGTCCCAACACTCCAAGAGTGAATATGTAGTCACCCGCAGGCCGCAGGGTCATAAACGCTGTGATGCGTATTTTGTACGTGAATTGAGATTTCTGTCAAAATTGGAAATTTTGGACTATACTGGGGACTTTCAAATACATGCGGACATCCCCATACCTAGTGTACTAATGAAAACTAATTTTTTAAATCTTGAATCGTATTGGAAAAGAGAAGGATATACGACCTAGATCGTTCTGATGTCGTTAATTCGTACTGCAATCTTATACAAAATACTGATTTAGGACTACTACCACCGTCGTATATAACTGTGATTGCTTCTATGAAGTGTGGTGAGGAGAACGGGTCTAAAAAGTAAAACAGCGAAGCCTACCGAGCTCGGCTCTCACGGTCTTACCCCCTGCAGCCTGCAACCTGCGGGGAGTCATGTTTACAACAAGTTATATATTTCTGAAAAACTCCCGCTGCCGCCAAATTTCATATTTGAAATTTTGGGTTTTTTGAGTTTTTTGTTTATTTTTATAAAAAAAATATAGAAAACTAAACAACCCAAATTGAAAAGACAACTCTGGGAACTCGAGGGTCGAGATTCGATAGTATTTAGAGGACTATTTAGTATTTAGTGGACTATTTACATTAAATGCATCATTTATCTGAGGGCAGAAGAAAATGAAGAAGAAAATCACTGTCCCAGAGACCCAGATACCCAGCGACCCAGACTCCCAAGGCTCTATGTAGAGGGGCCAGAGGCTACATACTCTTGTAGTAGGCTCAGCCTCCAGCGCAGGGTCCCAGACTCCTAAAAGCGGAAGCCAGGAGCCAAACTGGCAGACTGGCAGACTGGCATACTCTTGCTGTGCACACAATACACAAGAGAGTACAGTACATTTACAACAAGAGACCACCTCCATCCTCCAGACTCCAGTCTCCACCCAGTCACCCACGCGGGCCCCAGCAGAGGTCGAGTCTGACGTAAAAATAATATTTTACAGCCGTACTCTCAGACAGGTCTCTACTCAACTAAATAGTCGCCCAGAGTCCCAGAGTACCAGACAGCCGGACACCCACCCTCCAGTGTTTAGTGAGGCCAAGTCCTTTGCAGTTTTACACACACACACACCCCAGGCCACAGCCCAGGCCCCGGGGGCAGGTAGCAGGGCCCACACCTTAGATGCGGGCGCGGCCCACGTCCCCGACTCCACGGGGCACTGCCCACAAGAGGCAACGGGTATTAAAAAAATCGTGTAAAAAAATATATAAAATAATACCCCATGTATGCATGCAGCTTGAAGCATGAATTCTGAAGTCACGATGTATTATTTTTTATACAATATGTACTGTTTCAAAAAAAAAACACAAGGCTAAAAATCACAGGGCTATAGCAAGACATAAAAAAATATCAAATGTGTGGGGCGTGCCGGCATGTGGGCAACGGCTGACAGGCGGTGGCTACAGCCTGAGGCCCTGAGGCCTGATCCCTGTAACAGCGAGACGCAGTGATTGTGAGTCTGTGACTCTGTGTCCCCTGTGAGTTGTTACTCGTGAGTTGTGACCGTGTATTGTCTTCTATTTAATTTTTCAAACAAAACCGTCGAGTGTTGAGTTGTTGTGACAGCTGTGAGCCACTGAGCTTGGGACGGCTCCGGCTGACGGTGTGACGGATGACAGCCTGACGCTCTCCTAGACTCCCACTCGGTTTCTGTTTACCTGCATGTTATTAAAATTTGTTTGGTTTTTTTACAATGAAAACGATACAAAATAAAGTATAAGCAACTCATTTTACTCTAATGATGCTCTTTTCTTTTTCTTTTAATATTAGGATTTCATGATTGGTGTGATTTATAAATGATCGAATAACGCTCAAACCGATCAAATCTGATTTTTTTTTTGTCAATCATGATAAATGTTTCTGAACCGTAATTCGCTGAAATCTTATAGTAGTTAGCATAGCCATAAAAGCCAAAAAGGTTCAATACTCTGAAATTGGAGTCATATTCGCTCGCAATGGCTATATATGGCTTCATAAAAGTTCATCAAAAGCCAAAGACTTTATATGAGTATAGACTCCAGTCTCCAGTGTATCATGCCCTTCAGCATTCCAATACTTTTCTTAGCACCCCGAAAATAAGATGTGTATTGTACTAAATACATATCAAATTGTCAATATTATCAATATGTACTATTTTTTTCTTCAATTTTGACTTCTTTCATAAAGAGCATGGATAAATTTTTATATTTTTTTATTATTTGTTAACCCCCAGGCAATAGTAGATAGACAATTGACTTAATTCTTTCTTTCGTTTTACGAGTATATATTTTCAACCTGCACGTTTCAAAAATCATATCACCATACGCAGTACAGCAGTAAGATGTCTACCAACAATCAACAAGTCGACAATGATAAACTCTCCGATATTCTGATATTATCCTCTCCGCCCACGGCAGTACAAACACCAGCCTCATTGAGTCCAAGAGACAACCAATATCAAAGAAGTAGGTCCCTATCAGTAAGAAACCCTGATGATACTCCTTATGATGAGTATCTACAAGACTACGACAGTGATGAAGCGGGGTCAAGAGCAAACAGTCCTACGCCATTACTAAGGTACGAAAGAAGGGTTGGAGCCCTATCGCCGTCCATCTCTATATCCAAAGTATCAGAAGTCGATAAATCAGTGTGCACGCTTAATGTTATAGAATCACAGGCGCCACTGACTGAGGATATATGGGGTAGCAGATTATGGCACAAATGTAAGTCGGCCCTCTCACCAAAGGATGTGAATGACAGTTCGAATAGTTCAAAATCCAAAGCATGGGGACATCGGTACATTCGTAAATTCTACACCGTGCCAGCAAAGTATAGTCCCTGGGTTTTACTGGCATATATTCTCATATGTGGCAGCGTACTATACAGTATGTTCTACTTCAATAATTACAATTCCAGTACTGAACTGGGTAAACCGCTCATCCTAAATGCAGACACACGGGGCAGTTTTATTGCCAGCGAGGCTGGTACCTTCAATCCTATCCGGTGTCCACCCTTTACAAGCACATACACAGGTGCGTGGTATGTCACAGGCACAACTGTATATCGCAGCGACTCCAGAGTGTGCATTGCAGCTGTGCACGCAGGAGTGATCAACGATGCCACGGGTGGATGTGCGCTATATCGGCAGCTTGATAGCTCAGCCTCCTCCTTCGATGGTACATTCTCCAATGGCATCCAGAGTGGCGACTCCACGACTTTCGATAGTACCCCATTCGAATTTCAGAAGTGTGTTTCTCCCTACGGCTGTGAGTACTGGGGGTTCACGATATTTTTGCCAGTGGCACTGGTAATGTTCCTTGGGCTTGTCCTGCTGCGCACAACGTCTGTTGTCTTATTCGCGTGCATGGCTGTTGTAGGATATTGGTACGTGATTTTGATCGGCCAACCCTTGTACGCGGTCAGCTTCGTACAAGAACGCCTAGGGTTGTTCCTGCCTTTCTTGACTGCTGTCTACGTCTTATGGACGTTCGGTGGAAATGCAGCTACACCGCCATCCACGCACATGATTGAAAGAGTGATACTGTATATATTACCATGCTGGGCCTTTTTCCACATGAACTACCTCACACTTGTGTTCCCTGATGAGGACATCTCGACTGGTGATTCGGCCTCGGATGGTGGTTCAGCGGTCACTTGGAATCCGATTTCAATCACTCTACTGGCAGTCGCATTACCTATCGTGATTATCCTTCTGTTTTACCTATGTCGTAGTATCTGGCGATCAGGAAATACAATTTACTACTTACTGGGATATACCGCGGTGGTAGTGTTAGTAGGTATCTTCTGGGCGCTAGTAAGCTCACAGTTCTACTTCCACCTGCACCACTATCAGGTGGCTTTAATTGTGTGGCCTTTAGCGACATTCAGTACACGACCCGCCGCTTTTACGCAAGCCATCATGCTTGGAGTCTTCGTCAATGGCGTTGCAAGGTGGGGGTGGGGGTCCACATTCACTGCTTGAATGGATAGCACGATGTAAGTGTAGACGACAATAATATATATGTATATAAATATATAAATACTGACATTTATGTACATATTCGGGAAGCAAAACCATATATTGGGCGAGCAACGTGAACAAAGCAACTTATGAACTGCTAACTAAACACAGCAAATAGTATGAATTCGTCTCTGTTGTGCTGTGAAGATTGAGTCCAATTTTTTTACTGTACCATGTTCCGGCGGGATTCTTTGTCCGCAACAAGTGCACTAAATAGCAGCCGATAAGTGTTTCAATGTATGTTCCATCATACACTGTGTTTAATTTAATTTGAAATTCCCTTAAGAGCTTGATATGCTCAGAGCCTTGGCAGCCACTTTTAGTAGTTTCAGTATGTATAGAATCTATAGAATCTATAAAATCTGAATGAATCTTCAAGTTAGCAGTGGAGTAGTGATTTATTATACGTACTGGAGTATTCTTATTGTATTTTAAGGTGTTTTAACACGATCCGCACACACATATATAGATTTTGATTGCTTTTTGAAAAATAATAAAGGAACACGCAGTTTTTAACATTTTTTTCAGTGTCTATATCCACGAGGTGAAATAAATATGCAACTGATTTGCAACATAAATACAGAGTTATTTTGAAAGTTTCACTGGTTTTCTTATAATATTTATGTACCCGGTTCTTGTCTGCAATGGAAGACGTCTTGTATTTATTTGAACCACAATGATGTAAATAATGAAGATTTAAAATTATTTATTGAAACTGAAGGCGCTTTTATAGTGATATATTTTTTTGGTTTTTCATGATATTTTTTGTTCAATTTTCACTTTTCACTTTTCAGAAGGCTATTTATTGTATCGTCACGTGAACTCGTGAAGTTGAAGGTCTGTCTGCCGTCTGGTGATGACTGGTGGCAGTAATTAGACAGTTGGCGGTGCTAATACTATGTAATATGCTGGTACAAATGCAGTGTATAAATACACTTTCATTTTTTAACATTCAACTGGCCTGCTAAGCCAGCACTATTTATACTAAATATATGCACTTCTACCTTGCTCGCCATGACGAGGATAGTAGAAGCACAAAAACTAAATGTAGAAGCAAGGACAACTGCAATCTCGTGGACAGGCGGGAAGGATTGCAATTTGTCCCTGCTACATGCGTGGAGAGAGCCATCGTTGCGTGTTACTGCATTAGTCGTGTTCAGACCCGAAGGAGCTGTGTTCAAAGCCCACCCTCTAAGCTTTATGCAAGCACAGGCTGACAGCTTACAACTGCCTCTCATACACGCAATGCTGCCGAAGGACCCCGCGTGTTACAAGCTAGCATACGCTGATACAATAAAAAAGCTACATGCCGATCATGGAATTGAAACCATAGTAACAGGCGATATGGACTTAGTTGGGGATCAGACACGTAACTTTATCACCGAGTGTGCTGAGATGGCTGAAATTGGCGTATGGTTGCCACTGTGGCAAGCTGGTCGGTTGAGATGTCTTGAAACACTGATTGCTGAAAAGTTCGAGGTTGTCTTCTCGTGTGTGAAGAGTCCTTGGTTCGATGGCAGATGGATTGGTATGCCCGTGAGTTTATATTTATTCGTATCCATACATGAACGTTGGTGGAGACTAATGAGTGCGGTTTTGGATATGTATGTATATATAATATTATATAATATATATAATATATTATATATATATA